ACCTGGGGGGATAGGGAGAAAACAGCAGTTAAAATTTTGAAAAAAGCTCGAACAACAGCACCGATCCTTCAATATCCTGATTTTGAGAGGACTTTGGCCATAGGCGTTGTACTTTCTCAGGGAGAAATTGGCAAGGATTTGCCTATTGCTTACGCCAGCAGAACCCTAAAACCAGTGGAGTAGGGTTGGAGCACGACAGAGAGAGAATTGTATGCTGTTGTTTGGGGGGTTAAACATTTTCGGCCTTATCTTTACGGTCGGAAATTCATCGTTGTGACGGACCACAGACCNATGGATCTTCAACGTAAAGGATTTGGAATCGAAATTAATGCGTTGGAGAATAAAATTGGAGGAGTACGACTATGAGGTCATTTACAAGGCCGGAAAATTAAATACCAACGCCGATGCACTTAGTCGTATTAACGTGGTAACCCGAGCCCAGGCGCAATCAGAGACGAGCATAGGGGGGAACGCGTTCAACGATGGTGAAATTATCACACCAACTGACGAAGAGATAATGAGTATTCTTCAAGAATACCACGACACGCCGATTGCTGGACATCCCGGGGCAAAACGGATGTATGCGAAATTACGTCAGAGGTACCAATGGAAAGGGATGAAAACAGATGTCGAGAAATTCGTGGCCACGTGTGAGGAATGCCAGTTGAACAAACTGGGAAAAGCAACAAAGGTGCCAATGGTTATTGGAGAGAGCCCAGAGGAGGCCTTCGAAAAATGTGCAATGGACATTGTTGGTCCATTACCGGTCACGGAAGCTGTGAATAAGGGCAATTCCAATTCCAGACCAAGAAGCCAATACAATTGGTCGTGCTTTTGTAGAGAAAATTGTGTGTGAGTATGGCACACCACGAAAACTGCTTACCGACAAAGGCCCAAACGTTGTTGGGGAAATTTTTAAAAATGTGTGCAAATTACTGAGAATAAAGAAAATTCAGACTACAGCGTATCATCCTTCGACAAACGGGATTGTCGAGAGATCTCATCGCACTCTAGCTGAATATTTGAGAAGTTTCATTGTGGATGATCAGACAGATTGGGACACATGGCTGCCGTATGCAATGTTCGCATATAATACAACTCCTCATACGGTGACTAAAATGACGCCGTTTGAGCTGATGTTTGGTAGACGTGCTGAATTACCGACAGCCGTCAAACAACCCCCACGTTTGACATACTGCTATGATGATTTTGCACAAGAGCTTCGGGAAAGATTACGAGCAGCACACCAGGAAGCGAAGGAGAAACTCGACGCAGGCAAAGAAAAATCGAAAATTCAGTATAACAAAGATGCTGACGAAGTGGAATTCTGCATTGGAGACAAAGTACTGCTGAAAAATGATGTTTTGCGACGGGGACGATCGAAGAAATTATCTCAACCATGGATTGGACCTTACGAAGTGGTCGAGAAAAATTCCGAAGTGAACTATACCATCAGATATGGTAATAAAAAGAAAACGCAAAGGGTTCACGTCAATCGGCTGCGTCCATTTATAGTTACATGACTATATGGACCCCAGCCTCGGAATAAAATTGAATTTGGACAAATCTCAGAAGGAATGAGGGTTTTTATTTTTGTGGGAAAAGTAAACTTACAATTTATTTTCATGGAAATAATAAACTCATTATTCGAAGTCGGCGCCCAGGGGTCGTCCAAAAGTGAGATCGAGGTAGCGGTAATGCCAGTCCCATCCCAAGTAGAAATTTGTGGGAGCAGAAAAGATGTA